AATTCAAATAGTTTTCTTTCACTATGTCACTACTGTACTGTTTTGTTTTTAATTTACTTCTTTTACTTGCATAGAAATACCACAAAAAACCAATGGGGGAAAGATAACGACTGTGGGAAAGGAGCTCATAGGAACATGGGAACCAAGGGCATCGAAATTAGGTTAGATATTTCCACAACCGGAGTGGCTTCACTCACACACACGCACACACACGCACACACACGCGCGCACACGCACACACACGCACACACACGCGCACACACGCGCACACACACGCACACACGCACACGCCCCAGAAGCCTCAGGGACCTGTACTGTGAAGTGATCTAGAAGGCAGTACTTCTAAATACCTGTCAAATAATCAAGAGATTTTAGCCACAACAATAGACTATTTTTGGCAGCAGTTGGCCAATGAGATTTGAACCAAGAGAATAAGTTGACACCGGAATAAATGGAGTCATTTTCATTATTTGTTGGTATTTGTATTAATTATCTAGAATACTTATTAATTACAACTCACTCTTAAGTATGATATTAATTACTTATGACAACTGCTGTTGATACAGTGCAAGGTCAAGTGTATCCATTTAGAGGAGTCCTAACAGTTTCCCTCCTCAGCTGTAGCATATTCAACACCCAACCTCCCTCTTCCTTGCCCTTCCTGAAATCCGCACACAACACCGACCAGGCTCTTGGGACATCTAGCGGTGGCCTGCCCGTTGCTGGTGCCGCCAGCTCTCCTCTGGGTTGAGTGTCCTGCATTTCTGTGTTCTTGGCTTATGGGTTAATGTTTCTGCTTGGGCTGTCCCCCGCAGGAGAGGGAGCCAGTGATAACCCTTGCTCCGAAGTGTACCATGGACCCCATGCCAATTCAGAAGTGGAGGTGAAATCAGTGGTAGATTTCATTCAAAACCACGGGAATTTCAAATGTTTCATCGACCTGCACAGCTACTCACAGCTACTGATGTATCCTTATGGGTACACAATTAAGAAGGCCCCTGATGGCGATGAGCTGGTGAGTGCCAGCAGCCTCCTACCCTCTGGGCGCTACCAAGGTGGTTGGTCTGCAGCTTTCTAGGGAAAGTCCAGGAACCCAGGCAAGTTTCATTAAGGGTCCAGTCTTCTCTCCCTGTCCCTTAGGATGTGCCATCAGACCTACTAGGGACAAGAAGACAACGATGCCTGTGTCTGTTATTTCTGTGTCTGCCGTGACACACCTGAGCCCTCCCTTTCCGTCTCACTTATTTTTCTGGCTGAAATGTATTGCAGACCCACAGCTTGCCAAGTGCTGTGGTTGGCACCATGATGGGCAAGTGGAGATGCTCCTTGTCTGGTTAAGGAAGAGTTTAAGGAGGGCATAAGCCACAGCCTGGGACTGCTCTGTGTCATGTCCAGTGGAGAGGCGAGGCACAGAGGGCTGGGCTGGCGGGAGCAGGGCTGGCTGGCATCTGTGGGGTGACCACAGGCCTCTGCCTCTGTGCTGGTCTGCTGGAGTGCACCCCTCTGCCCAGGGCCACAGCCAGCCCAGAAACCTCTGGGCAGATGCAGCCCCACCCAGGCTCATGGCTAGGTGTAGGCTGGATTCTGGCCCCAATCA